ACTATAAAGTATCCAAAGGAAAGTACAGGTGAAAATCCAGGTAAACTTAAAGAAGACATGGGATTTATTAGACAGGTCAATAAAATTGTTAGCCATAGAAGAAAAAAGACTTCATAAATTAAACTTTATCAAAATTTAAACTCTGCTCTTCAAAAAAGACATCATCAATGCCATTGAATGAAGTAGAAGTCAAATAAAACCATCCATTTCTTACAGGCAGAAAAGGATGGTGATGGCCAGGGTTGGAGGCAGGAGGAAATGGGTAGCTGCTTTTCAAGGGTCTAAAGCTTCTCTTATTCAAGACGACAAAGTATCAGAGACCTGCTGTGCAATAGTGTGCCTATACTTGCTGTCCTGTAGGAGTGCCCTTCAAAGTTTGTCAAGCAAGTAGATTTCATGTTCAGTGTTCCGATCACATTAAAAAAGTAAGAAAACAAGACAAGTCACAAACAAAAAGAAAGTATTTGTAATACACATACAAGAGTTCCCAAGTCACAATGGTTCAAGTCAATGATTTTTCCAGTTTACGATGGTGCATAAGTGATAAAGCATTCAGTAGAAACCATACTTGGAGCTTTGAATTTCTAGCTTTTCCTGGCTTAGCGACATGCGGTACAATACTATCTTAGGACGCTGGGTAGAAAGGCTCCAGCAAACCAGGGAATCTCAAAAATAACCCATCCTCGGCAGTGGACTATGTTGCCAGCCTTTTGGGAGGGGATATTGTGCTCTGCGTTTTCACAACCCATAATGTCTACCAAACACTCATCTGTGTCTTCCTGTTCTGATGAGAAATCGATCTTGAGATGAAACTCTTAATAAATACCCAAGTGTAGGCCTTCCCTGTTGGCGCAGCGGGTTAAAGCACAGCACTGAAAAGTTAAAGCCACTTCCGCATGAGTTTGATTCCCGCCTGCCCAGGAGGTGATCACATGGCGTGGCAGACCTCTCCTGACCCGCCCTCTGCTCCCCTCAGCAGTGTACTTCGTCGATCTGCCTGCTCTGCTCCCCACTCTGTCTCTGGTGAAGCCTCTCACCGCCCCTGAGCCTCTGGCCTGTACCCCAATTCTGTATGCACAAATAAATAAATCTTTTAAATAAATAAATACCCAAGTGTAGGGTAAGTGTTCTGAGCACATTTAAGGTCAGCTAGGCTGAGCTACGATGTTCTCTGGTTGGGTATATTGAATGCATTTTTTACTTAACCATAGTTTCAATTTACAATGGTTGTAGCAGGACATAACCATCATTAATTGAGGAGCATCTGTATCTGATGGAGAACTTATATTCAGGTAGATGAAATATGAAGAACTCTTATGATTTAATAATAAATAAGACAAGCAACACAATAACCAGACAGTTCGTTAAAGAAGATAAACAAATGACCAAAAAGCACATAAAAAGATGCTTGAGGTCAGTCATCAGGAATCACAAACTAAAACTATAAAGAGATGCCACCACAAACCCACTGGAATACTTGAGTAAAATAAGCAAAACGGAGTGCTGGTCAGGACGCCGAGCTTTGGGACATCTGACGTGTGGCTGGTGGACTGCATGGTGGCGCAGCCACCAAGGGAAAGCTGGGCGTTGTCTTCTGTCAAATCTACTGTAGATGATAGCAACCCTACGTCTAGGTGTTTAGTCACATAAAATGAAAATGTAACTACCATACCACAAATAGCTGCACATCAATGTCTTTATTATTGCTGTTCATAATCGCCGAAACTCAGTAATAAAAAGGAACAAATTATTGATTCACCCAGCAAAATGAATGAATCTCAGCTGCATTATGTTCAGTGAACAATGTAGACTCAGAAGGCTACATCATGTGTGAATTCATTCACAGGACATTCTGGAAAAGGCCAATTTATAGGGACAGGAAACAAACCAGTGGTTGCTGGGGCTAAGCTGGGGGCTTAGCTACACCAGGCAATAAAAGTTTTTTGGTGTGATAAAATTCTTCTGTTTTTTTCGTATGATAGTTATATGACTATACAGACGAAAAAACGTACAGAACTGTATGCTGTAGGGTGAATGTTATTGTAAAAAATTATACCTAAATTTTTAAAACACAAAATTGACTTGGGAATTAAATAGATTTATAAAATGGAGCAAAATGTTAGCAGAATCTTATTTGATGGGGGAAATTTATTTTATAGTAATTTCCCCCAAATGAGTAGCCCATTCTTTAACTTCCACTTGCCCCCATCTGATACCATAACCCTAGATTATTAAAGACGCACATATTTTAAAAATCATAAGTATTTTTAGAGAAATTTTCCTCTTCTGAGGTAAGACCTTTCTCAACAAAACATAAAAATCAGCTCCCAGATTTTTACTAAAGGCAGACTCCTTTCTATCTTCAGAATTATTAACAGCACAGAGACACATTTCCCTTGCTTTCTCTCTCTCTCTCTCTCTCTCTCTCTCACACACACACACACACCTTTTTTTTTTTTTTTAAGTTAATGGTGCTTTTCCCAGTTGGTTGCATGTATTTTAAAGTGACTTGGCACTCTCAGGCCGCGAAATGGAAAAATGTGCTTGTCAGTTCATGTGAGCAGTGAAAGTACCAGGAGCCTACTTAGTGATGTCTTCTTTCTGAGTCCCAAAACCAAACTGGACCACACCAGCGCCCCCAGACAACCACGCTGGCAGTGGAAAAGCAACCTCTTGACTGCCTCTTCCCAACACCTGAGCAAACTCACTTTGCCATTTCTGGCAGCCTCTTCATGTTAACCAAAACACAGCAGCTCTCCTTTCCCTGCCAAATGCACCAATGAAATTCCATTTCTCAGACTTTTTCTCCTTTTGCTGAACAAAATCATATCCATAATTAAAATTCAATTTTTTTCTTTTCTGTGTGTCCAACAATATTTTTTTTTTCTAGAAAAATACACATACCTGGAATCCGTGGAGTTTGGGCAAGAATTATTCACAAACACTGGCACTGCATTTCTTCAGTGTTTTTCATTAGTGAAATCTGCTCTATTCCCCCTTTTTTGTTTTTTTAAAGATTTATTTATTTGTGCATACAGACTGGGGTACAGGCCAGAGGTACATGGGTGGTGAGAGGATTCACCAGAGACAGAGTGGAAAGCAGAACAGGCCGACTGTGGAAGTACACTGCAGGGGGGCGGGGTGGAGGCCAGGAGAGGTCTGCTGAGCCATGTGGGTCAGCTCTTGGGGCCGGGGAACTGAAGTCATGCTGAAGTGGCTTTAGCTTCTTAGTGCTGTGCTTTAACCCGCTGCACCACCAGGGAGGGCCCTCTATTCCCTTTTAATGAAAGTCACCTTGCAGGGATGTGGGAATGATAAAAACAGAGGGAATCCGATCAGCCCTGGCATCAAGCTAAGGTCCTGTAAAACAATACACTAGAACAGCTACTACAAAATTTGGACATTTTTTGTTTTCCAGCTTTGCATTGAGCTGTAAAAGCTGCTAAACCAAGAAAAATCCAGCTCATTTTATACCCCCACTAAGCAAAATTGTGACACGCTAAATCTAGACCCCTCAAACTCTTTGGAAAAGACAACTACTTTGTCACTTAATTTACAAATTATTACAACATCAAAGCTTAATGTATTTTCTATTAATAATTAAGCTCCTAAGAAATTGTTAATTATTAATGTTAATAAAGCAGTATTACTGGCATACCACATAGTGTATAACAGAGGTTATACTCACAGGTTTGCCTCTTAACATAGAGGTTGAGAAAGACGGAGGACCTGCAACGTCTACCCAAGTCTTTGCTTCTTAAGCCATCACTTTACATCACCCACCAACTCTGAATGCGGATAAAAGACATGGATCCTTTTTCTGCCTGTGGGGACTATGAGATAGGACCAGTCACATAATTTGTGGGCCTGGTGTAAAATGAAAATGCAAAGTCTCCTTGTTTAAAAATTTATTAAGAGTTTCGTCAGCGACTGCAAAGCATTAAACCGGACACAGGTTGCATTTCCACAAAGCCAGCTCTAATATCAAGAGAAGAGCTTGGCTAGTCAACTGGTAAGAAAAGTAAAGTGTTTCATTACTAATCGAATAACAATCATTTTTCGCGTGTGATTTGGTAAGGAAGTGCTATTGTCAAGTCTTAAGACCTCCTTCCCCAATCTCCCGCTTTTTCTAAGGTTTTCAGACTGTTGGACAAATTACTTCCTGCCATAGAAAGTGCAGTCCACAGAGCAGCAGCAGCAGGAGCATCTGGGGGCTTGTTAGAAATGCAGACAGTCGGGCCCCACCCCAGACCTACTGAATCAGAATCTGTGTTTTAACACAACAATATCCCCAGGGGAATCGTGGACCTTACCGACTGAGAAGTCTCACCGTCCAAGCAGCCACGGAAAACCTCTGCCGCCTCCCTCCTCCGGCATTGAGGAGGCCTGCGGCTCCCCTGCTCGCCTCCCCCATCCACGAGCCTCGAAAGGGCGAACCCCTGACAAACTGCGCCTACCCAAGACCTCTGGCCTCCAGCTTCCCCGGGTTCATCCCGCCGCGCCCGGGGCCACCTGTTCTGGGTCCCTCCGGGAGGTGTGCGCCCAGCCGTCCGTGCTCGCGGCACGTTCCGCGCTCCGCCGCACCCACTGCTGGGCGCGGTAAACTGAGTCCCGGCGAGCTGCATCTCTAAGACACCCGCGGGAACCAGACGTGTGGTTCGGTGTCCCGGAGGGGCGGAGAGAGTTTGAGTCCGTTTGAGGCTTTGGGGTACACACGTCCGTCTCCCCTTCCTCGCCCCGGGGGACGTCTCTCGGAGCCCCCTTCCCTCGCGCACCGTCGCACCGTCGCGGCCGGGGCCCGGAGCTCCGCCCTGTGCCGCTGCCTCTAGGGCACCCTGGGCCCCCGCTCAGCGCCGCAGCCGGGCGGAGGGAGCGTTCGCCTAGCCGTCCAGTCACCTCCGGGTCCCGGCGCTGCGCCCAAGCCCTCCGCGCCGGCCGCCAGCTCCTCGGCGGGTCTCAGGAGCCCGCGGGGGCAGAGCCGTTCCGGGCCGCACGCTTACCTGCCGGTCCCCGCCGACGGGCTGGCTGCGGCGCTCTCGGGCCTCCTTTCCCAGTCGCTCCAGCTGCGGCCCTCCAGCTGCGGCCCCCTCCCTCCTCCAGCGAGCTGGGCGCCGCCCCCACGCTCCGGACCGCTCGCCCGC